TTAATCTAGTGGAACTTCAATAGAATTACTAAATGTAGGAGCTGCCAACACTGAGAAGGAGGTCTAATTTAAGCAATGATTGAAAATCACACTAAGCAAAAGTTTCTAATCTATTTGAAAATTATGCCATCCCTGTAAGCAGAATAATTAATTTTTATCCTTGATCTCAGAAAGGACGGACTGGAAAAACTGTGTCATAACTGCAAAGGGTTCTGGGTCAAGAACGATCATATCTGAAAAAGCTATTGCTAAGCTTGTTACAAAGTTGTTTCTAGTAAGATAAAAGCATGGCAAGAATTGTTTTTCTTTTTAAATTGTGGTAGCAACTTTGTCTAAATTTATGTTCCCATACAATATTGAGGCATGTGAGCATATTGCTCTAGGGTAATGTAAGAAATACTCACAATATGCAATTGAAACATCACTTATTTTCACCATCTACATAAAATTTACTGCTAATAGTGAAGAACAGATTAGAGGTGGGAGACGATACCTCTTTACAAGTATCAAAGCTTATCTCCATTGTACTATTCTATCCAGCTACATGAGGTAACATAATCAGAGGTAAGACACTTCAGGATAAGTAGTTTCAAGGAAAATCAGGGAACAATAGCTAAGCCATTGGAAAGATTATTTGTTTCCGGTGTAAACCAGGTATAAACAAAAGTAGTTCACCAGAGCTGAAGCCTGTGCTCCAAAGCATTCACAGCAATGGAAAATAACCTCACAAAAAAAAAAAAAAAAGCGTGTTGCAAGTTGCTGGCATTTGTTTGTGAGGGAATGCATACAAAAATAGACTGGCAGAGAAGCCTTCTCCAGTCTAGACACAGGTGGGAAGGGTGTGAGCTTAGTGTCACACAGGGTAAAGGAAGGTGAGGGCCCCTTACCCTTTTCTTATCCAAAAATAAAATAGCATGTTGTGAGTTTTGTGGTGTTTTTTTTTAAGAATCTGTTTTGAAACCTTTTATTCAGGGGCTGTTCACAGGCTCCCCAGGAAGGGTTTGCAAGTGCCAAGCAGAGGTGGGGCCATCAAGTCTCCATGACTGGGAATAGAGAGATCCTGTCCGGGGACTGATCTGAAAACTGAATAATCCCAGGGAAATCACACAGAGGAAATGCTGTTCATCCTGACACCTAACAGTTTAGTGATGATGAGGGATTCAGGGAACAATCCAGATACCAGCTATGATGGTATAATAGCAAGAGGGGGAGACCAAGTCTAAATTAAGAGGCACAAGTGTGCATGGGGAGGAGTGCCAGCAGTGGCCTGCCGCTTGCAAAATGGGATCACAGACACAAATCATCCTTTTATCTGACAAACAAGAGAGTTCAAGCAATGCAAAATCTGTATTTTTGAATGCTTTACTGTTAATAACTTGACTTATAATGACAGTAAAACAGGCAAGGAAAGAGCCTGAAGGCATTCACTCTGATTATCAATGGGTACAGTTTCTTGCAGAGGAACTCATTTAAACCAGGTCAGTCCCTGGCCTATGCAGCTTCATTTCATGATTTCCCATTGGAGATCCCAGGATTCAAGTTACCGCTTGTTTCCCTTTTTTTTTTCTTTTTTTTTTCTTTTTTCTTTTTTTTCTTTTTTTTTTCCAAACCTCTATTGTTTTTTTCTCCCTCTCTCCTTATGTGCTTCCATCCTGGGTCTAAAAAGCTGCTGTCATAAGAATTACTGAAGGTAGAAAAAAACCAGTGCTTTATACTTTGCAGCCTTGAGTCATATGGAGGGTAAAAAGCAATCCATCTGAAAGATCAGCTGTTTTTAAACCGCTGAAACCCACATTTGACCTTAAAATTGGGAGGAGAAGGATGTTTATCATGATAATGGGATTTAAAACCTCATTCCTCCTAGCCTTGTATAATATGCACAGTATTTCACAAACCAGTACAAGCATGAGTGGGAAGGTCTGTGAATTACCAGAAGAGCTAAGAAGTTATGCACAGACGGCTGTTTTGGGCAATATTCTTTATTCATCTGAATAAACATTTCCTTTTGACTGGAAAAAAAGTTGGAAAGGACATGCAGAGTATATTTTTGTGAGACTTGGCCATACTCTCCAGTGGCTTCATTGGCCAGGTTTACACACCAGGCAATTATATCTAATATTTGTTACATTAACAGCTAAACACTAGCTTCCTTTTTGTTTCTTCAGATTTACTTGTGCAACATTCACATTGTCCCCGTGGCCAGTCATGTGGGATTTATGTCATCTCTGTTGCCAGTACTTCTTGTTCATTCCTTGATCTGCTCTGTGTATTTGAGCAAATTCGTGTCCTGAATAACTGTGTCCCTGCCTTACTGTTGAAACAAGTATCTCTGTACTATCCCTTCAACGCACTCTTCAGAGTGATAACAGTCTTCTTCTTCCTGTGTTTGCTTTCTTCTGATCCGGGAATGGCCTTCCTGAGGTGCTCAGCAAAGCCACAACCCTCTACACCTTTAAAACTTCCCGGAAGGTCCACTTCTGTGATGCTTGCAAGAAACTACCTAAGTAATCTGCTTGTCTATTCTGTTTATCTCATGACTGACTCACTCCTCTCATGGTGCCTGTAAGAAACTTCTTGATCAAATCCACTTCCTCTTATTGTGTCTTTGTCAAAATTTTTGGTAGATTGTGCCCTGCATTGGCCTTCATGGAGGTTGAGTGAATTCTAGAATAACGGGATCATGATCGCCTTTTGGATGCCACTCCCTTCTTCTTGCCCATTGGTTGCTTATATTCTTTGTTGCTTCTTCTTAGAAACACCTCCTTGTCCTGCATTTACTGCCTACAAATGAAGAGGGTTTGCTCTTCACTTGGTTTTTCATTAGTTCAGCAGAGCACCAAATGGATGTAGGACTCCACCTACTTGGAGCTGCTTATAGGCTTGGTGTATTAGTTGGGAGCTACTGCAGGCATAATCAATGTTTTTTGTCTCTGCAAGGTGTCTCCCACCAAAATTTTCAAGCGTGTTTAAAAAACTGTTCATAAGGAGCCTTTGGTGTGACTATTGACTGTTGTGATGATGCTCAATGTATTTTTCATGCTGCCTAACTTTCAGTATTTGTAACTCCAGAAAAGTTCTGTGGGAGGAATGCATGAAAGTTCTCAGCTTGCTAGTGCTCCCTAGCAAGCACAGATAGTGTTGTCCACATTTTAAACAGTATATTCAATGTATTTTATTTGAACACCATTTTAACTTAATGCAAAGAGTAACAGTTTAAAGCCTTTTTTTTTTCTTTGTAAGTGAAGGCAGCAAACTAGATCTTTTTTGTAATTGTACTGTGCAGTGTCATGAAGTAATACATACAGGGATCATTTTTATTCCTGTGCTGCATAATAGGCAGCATTTGTTTGTGGCTTCTTGTGCTTGTCATGCCTTGGTAATGCACAAAGACCAGTGGGTCTCCCTTTTTTTTGCAAACAGTGACATGTGCATTTAGTGTCCTCTTCAGCAGGGCAACTCCATCTGCATGAAGTTAAGCATATACTCACGTCAGCTGGGTCTGTGGGCTGAAGTGTAAGACACGTACCCACTGTTCACTTGTTACCAGCATTTTCCAAGGAAACTGTATGGCCTTGGCAATATCAACATTCTAATTTGATACCAGTTTTGTGGTATCATCTTGCAAGCTAATGGTCAGATAGGTAATTAATATTGCTAGACACAGTGGCAGCATCCCTCTAATTAGTAAGGACTTTGGTTTGTTCGGTAAGACCCAGAGTTTGAATCCCCATATTCCCTATGAGCCTTGCATTGGAGCTGGAGCTGCACTAGTGGAGCTAATTCTCTAGTTACTTCTTCTGCCATATGGGGAAGGGTTACTTAGAGATGAGCCTAAATACTATCACAAGCATTAGTAATTTGCTAGATGGAAAACAAGGGAACTGCCTTTGACTACTCAGGCTTACAGGGTTATAACTCTGGTTGTAGTCCCTGAAGGGGAAAGTGAAAGAGGACAAAGAGCCTCCAAGAGAGCAGAGGATTCTCCAGTGAGCTAGCTGACAGCTTTGAAGTAGAAATGTCTTCAACATTGACTTTTTCTTTCCCTCTTATAGTTCAGCTTATGATACCAAAACAAGACAGAAGGTGGCAGTAAAAAAGCTTTCAAGACCTTTTCAATCACTTATTCATGCGAGGAGGACCTACCGAGAGCTTAGGTTGCTTAAGCACATGAAGCATGAGAACGTAAGTGAAGACTAAGTTCATTCTCTTCAGATTTTTATAACAAAAGTTTGCAATATAGGCTTAATTTCAGTTAGGTACAATCTTTTTTTGAAAAGTATATGCAACTTTCTGGCTACCGTACCTGGACCTAGCCATCTTAAGTGTAGCAAAGTCACTGGACTTCAAGGTAGATATTTTCAGTGAAAAGGTGCCTTTTTATTGAAAAATAATCTAATTTCATCGTGAAGATACAGCTAATGAAATCCAAACCCAATGGTTTGACTCTTCTCTAACTAAAGTAGTAAGAGTGTTCTGCTTACTTCTATCGGATGGTCTTGAAACATCAGTCCAGGGAAAAAACCCTCAAACCTGCTTTTGCTGAATTTGGATTCTGTTGAGAAATGAAGGGCAGATACTCTAATTGAAATTAACAACAGTGTAATCTCTAGATGAAAGATAGTAGAACTTTAGGCGCCAAATAATTGAATATCTTTTATGTGGCAAATAGTCAATTGCAGTGAGAGCATCCATCTGCATAAAAGTAACTTGATGAATTAAAGCCTGAATAAACTACACTTGATTGAAAAGTATCTTGGCAAAAGGATGCTAAAGAAGTTATACCACAACAGAACAAGATAACCCATTAAATTGTGCATGATCTTTAGTATAACAAGTGTATAAGCCATGTGTCAGCTTTTCTGTAATGAGATGTTGCTTTTCCCACCTTTAGTTCTGATTGTCTAAAATCTTGAAATTAATAGAATTTTCTGTTGGTCATGGTGATAGCCGAGGCTATACCTGTATAGACTGCCCCTTGTGCCAGTTGTACTGTTTTCACAATGACCATATGTCATATTTCTTTAAGTTTTGTCCGAAAAATGCTAAGCACTGTCAATACTCATTACATATTGCTTTACAGATTCCTAAAACTAAAATGTCAGTTCCCTCATCTTTCAGGTTATAGGATTGCTAGACGTTTTTACACCTGCAACATCAATAGAAAACTTCAATGAAGTGTAAGTAACATTTTTAAATAATTCTGACTAGTAAGTTAGTAAGTACCACTGGTTTTAGAAAGGAAGCACACACTTTTCCTATAGTCTTGCAGCCACGGTTGCCTTTGTGTGAAGAACCTCAATAATCTTTTTGCAACTTTTCCACAAAAGAGGAGGCAGGAGGATGGGCCTGATTTTTGTACTTAAAAATATGGCAGGTAGATGGCAAATGGTCTCATGCTGCATAAATGCCAGTAAACTCCAAACTTCCTCAGTTCTGTTACATGTTAGCTGTAGATTATTTTTTAACAGCGAGATGAGATAGTTCAGGAATGCAAGCAAGTTGGTTAACTGAGACAAGCTAAATTTAGGCTTGATTCCTGACTAATCTAGGACTAGGTGCATTTTGGTATTACTCAAACATATGATTTATGCAGAATTCCTCTCGGTCTACATCATGTATAAGCACTTAGGTAAACAATTGTCACGAGCTGATAGGACAGTTCCCCACAACAATTTAGCACAATAAATAGTAAGTATTTTTTTTGGTCTCCATGGAAATTAGGGGGCAAACCCCTTTGACTCTGGCAAAATTACACAAATGAGAACTGGGTATGATAGATACATACTTTTGTTCCAGCAGTGTTTTTGGAAATGAAATTCATGTTTCTGCAAAATTTGTCAAAAAAAACGCCCAAATTTCCATCAGGGATTGGGAGGGAAGTTACACAAAACACTCTTATTTCACCCATCCAATGCTTATCTCCATCATCAGATATTCCAGGGCCTTGCAGGTACTGTAGTTTGGTGTCTCAGGCTCCCACTTGGGTGTTGGGTGAGGCTTCCTATTCCTCTCAACATATACAATGCATTCTCTTCTCACTGAACTGTGGTAGTTTGTCATGGAGAAAACAGAGAGAAAAGCTTTTAATGTACTGTAAAGATTTTTGTTGGTCATTATATTAAGTCTCATAGCCGTGATTTCATTATTAAAGCTCACAGCTGATTTAAAGGGCATAAACCGTGTGTTAGTAAAAAATGGAAAGGGAACCTACATGGGAGTGTGCATTTATACCATGTGCTGCTTTTAGAAGGATTTGCATTCTGCCATTCTTAAATGAGGTGTATTTCTTTGTTTTCTTCTCTCTGTTCCATTTTCACAGGTATCTCGTGACAAATTTAATGGGTGCTGACCTGAATAACATTGTGAAGTGCCAGAAGTTAACAGACGACCATATACAGTTTCTCATCTATCAGTTACTTAGAGGTCTTAAGGTACTGGCTGAATGCAGGAGTTCTGCATATAGAGTCAGCAACCAAAATGTTTTAGTATCAACTGGCTCATTGCATTGGCAGCACTTAAACACTTCTTTTTAACGTCTTAAGATTGTGCAGATAGCAGCAACAATTTCAGAAATTATCAGATTTTTCTTTAACCAGAAATAAAACCCCAAGCCTGCCAATGTTTAAAAGTGCAATACATGTGAATACTCCCCTTAAACATGAAATTTAGATCGGTTTCTATTTAAGTTACTACTGAAGAAGAATCACTTGCTATAAAATGTCTCAAGTGAATGTGTTCTGCAGTGCACAGTGTGTGTTTTAGACACTTCACCTGTCATGAGAAGGTAGTGAAAAAACTTCTGTGATGTAGAATAATACATCGTGTAAGTTGCATTTGTGCTTTGAAAGACATGAGACAGTTTGAAAAACTACAGCCCTGATTTTTGTTAAGAGCATCACATGGGTGGAGAAATCACCAAGTTAGTTGGTTTCTTTGGGAAATTTCTGGAAAGAGAAGTTTATCCTAGCAGTGTACACTGTTGCATACAATCACCTAAGATTTACTTTGCCTCTAAAGTCATTGTTTCTGCTAATCGTGTCAGTTAAAATGTATACAATTAGATAACACAGGTGATTGGCATGAAAGTGTAGCAAAGTTTTCTTCTGAAAGAATTAAGCTATGTATCAGCTTGCTGATGTTAAACATGTAAGTGTCTATAAAATGGAGAAGATGTAGAAAATGCTTCTCATTACTAGGTGATAAGCATTTTCTCAGAGCAGTGTTGATTTTCCCCGATATAAGCAAAAAGAAGAGACGGGTCAGCTGCATTAGTAGCTAACTTAACAGCAATTGATTTTCTTAGACATGGAAAATAACTGTATGTTTGAAAGCCAGCCATGGTAAATACTGGCTCTGAAATATACATATTACGTGATTTTCAACAAGTCACCTGGTGCCCAAGACAGTAATTCTTATTCATGCATGCAGGTTCTTTCAATTTAAGTGCAGACTTGAGTGAATAAAAATTGTAGAACTGAGTCTTAATTGCTTTGTCTCATTTACTTAAGTTAATAGCTTATTCAGGAAGATGGATTCTGGAGTTAATTATCCAGCTTGTGGTTTTGAATGTAAGGCTATGTTGTGTCAAAGCTAAATAATAGTAAAAATTGTGGTCTAAAGTGGCTATTCATTTGGCTGTGTTTCAAAGGGGAGCGGTTGATGGTTCTGGAATTGAAATTCTCATGTCTCATTAGTCAAAGAACATTTGATCATGTATCACCCCTGGCTTACCTCTCTGCTGGAGTCATTACAATGTGTCTTTGCATACCTGAGTAAGCGCTGGGCTTGCTGGTAGGTGTGCTCAGCAGTAGGGAGCACAGGCTTCGCGCTCTGCAGGGGCTGTCTGACCTGACAAAGCACTACTGTGGAGCTGTGCAGTTTGGCAGGGTCCTGGGCTGGCTCTGTTTGGTGGCACCAGGAGGAGCCCTGGTCTCAGCAGAGCAGGGACACAGCTCACTCTGTGTTGCAAGTGCTGGTTTGCTTTCCTCTTCATGCAGCTGCTCACAGCTGTTGTGAGGAGTACTCCAGGAGTGGCCCTGTCCTTCTGATAAACAGCATGTAGGTCTGAAACAAGAAGAATGCCCTGGTGTTTTCTTTGGGTTTCCCTAGCTGATATGCAGGCTTTGAGTGTAATCTCTGCTCCTAAAAAGTGAATTAACCTCTAGAGAATAGAAGGCTCTAGAGGTCTTGCTGATCCTGGTCAGTAAGATCATAAACTGCCTTTAGTTAACAAGTGAATGAGATGCAATTGTAGTGTAAGCTTTTCTTAATCCTTGAGGTTTAATATTTTATGTAAAATAGCAGAGGCACTACAGAGACATTGAAATACTGCTTCAGTTCCCTGCTTTGAAAGCAGACCTGAAGGAATGCTGTGGCTTAGGTGGGTATTTGATCAGTAACCTGTCCCAGGGCACAAGTATCTCTCATCCACATTCTGTATTTTCAGTATGGGAAGGTGGCTTACCTCATCTAGGAGTCAACCATACTGCTCCCTAGGCCACTGTTTTCACTAAGGCAATCAACATGGGCACCCAGATAAGACTGGAATAAATCCCAAATTGCTTAGAAACTTTTGAGAGAAGAATCACTGCAAGTGCTGTATTTTATGGTACAACCTAGTCTTCATGGTTACTTTTCTTGAAATATCAAGCTCTGGACAGAACAAAACAAGGAGGTCTTGAAGTTCATCATACCTCTGTTTGATCTGAAAATGCAGTGTAACATACATTTTTTTCTATGTATAAAATTGTCAGTCTGAAGCAAAAAGATAAGCCAAGTGACTTACACCTTCCTTTACCTTCAACTTCAAATTTTATATTTTTTTTTCCTTTTTGTTTTACAGTATATTCACTCAGCTGGAATAATCCACCGGGTGAGTTCACTCATTGCAATAATAAAAAGGATTAGTGTGTCCCTCTGTGCATCAGATGTGTTACTAAGACATAGTTATAATATACTTTAAAACGCTAAAAGGGTCCTTGACTAACTCTTTCTGTTCTGCTACAGGACCTGAAGCCCAGTAACCTAGCCGTAAATGAAGACTGTGAACTGAGGGTAAGTAACATGCTGTCTTAATGAAGAATGTTGTAGAAGTTCTCAAGATGATAGTTTTCTAACATTAGCTACTATTTTCATTTCTGACTCCATTAATTTAAACTCTTTGCTACTGTTGCTCCCATGGCATAGAAAACCCATTTCTATGGGTATGTTTTCTCCCCAGTGTTAATTTGGGGTGAACACAAGTATCTTTGCAAAATGTGCATCCCTACTTCCTTGCAGACCTAAAAAGCCTATGTAATCCACACTTTTCAAATGCTATTTTAATGCTCATGTCTATATAAATACATATATTTGTAGACCTGTGTGATACGATATTACATAATAAGCATGAGACCCTGGAGAAGGAGATGTCTTCTAGCTTTCTAAGCCTTTAAGCCTAAGAATAAGAAGTTTAGCATTTCTCCATGACAGACAGAAACATCTTTCTTCCTGTGACTGAGACTATGATGTAATCACTTTATTCCAGCTGTGAGGGATTTAAGAAAAAAATCCGAATACTACGAGGTCAGCAAAAATTTGCAATAGTGAATAAGAGCAGTATAGTTAAGTTCTCAAACTAATCTGGTTCTCTGGTGAGAAACTGTAGTTACTATTTAGTTTGGTGACACTTGTGGATGCTCAGCAATTTTCATGATTATCCCTTTAATGTCTTCATGCATGTATGTTCAGCATCTGTGAGATTTTATAGGTCATCTGGGTCTGATTGTATTCTAAAATGTGTGCTGTATTTTTTCACTGTCAGTAAAGGAGACTTTTCATCTTTTTTTTCTATTACTATGGTATCTGCCTAGCATTTGTTACACTGCTTTTTGCTTTGTTTTTATTTATAGCTTTACTTCCTCTGATACCAAATAATTTTCTAGTAGAACAAACTAATGGATATTTCCAGGTACAAACAAGAAGGAAATAGGGCAAAGAGAAGGGAAACGTGTGTGTGTACACATTTGATAGAAGGGATCACCTATTAAAGAGGAATATTGCTGAAATCCTTATAAAAATAAGGTTACAAGCCATTGTTCATGCCTTGTTTACATCATGCTTTTATTTTTGCTTATTTTAGATAAAAATAATGCTTTTTAAGTATATTGAAGTAAAGACATTAATGTGTTATTCGCATCTTAATATTTTTCTTTAGGGTCTTTTTATCTTTAAACTGGATTGTAACTGAGGAATTTAGAATTATACTCAATTTTTTTTTACTCCCAATGAAAAGGATTAGTTTAATAAATTATCTTGGATCTCATAATGGGAGGTTGACACTGATCTAAGCCACATTTCTATTTGAAGAGATGCTAAATAACTCAGATGACTGACAACAAACAGCACAGAGGCTCAGAGGATGCCCTTTCACAGGAGTCTCTCTTAGCATTAAAAATACCTCTTAGCTCCATTATCAGTCAGAAATAGATTAATAATTTTTTAAAAATGAAAAAAAAAACAACAAACAAACAAAAAACCCAAACAATGACCAAAGAAAAACAAACCACACCACAGAAAGCAAAGAAATGAGCAGGAAAAATTTAATTGAAATAACTTCCTGTCAGTGTAAACTTAGCAAGGGAGAGCATATGGAGGGGGATATTTTGCCATCAAGCCCTATGAGTAATATGTGTACTTAAACAGAGCTCCTTTGTTGTTTTGGTGGGGGAGTTCTACTGAAAACAGATGGTATGTGATTTAAATCTACCTTGTTATACAGGATATATGCTTCTCTCCTAGCAGCATTGATATAATGTGTGACTTGGATAAATGCTACCTGTGTGCAACAGTAGTTAGGTAGAAATGAGAAGGGAACAACACAACTTGAGAAGATTTGTGGTAAGCTTCTGTGGTCTTTAAATGTTTTAATGGCCAGTGCCACTTGCCATTGGCACTTTACACAAATGTTCCCCAGAGATAGTGTTTCATTTTTTATAGCAACAGTGCTTATTTTTAGCAAATTAATGTGAGTGGAAAATTGAACTTGAGGCAAGATGTAGAGTTTGCCTTAGAGGACAGAAGGCCGGGCTCCTCGCAGTGGAACCGTCTTTGTGCAGACCTGTAGCTGCAGGGGTACAGCAGGGAGAGCAGATCAGCTGCTCTGCGGAGTTGCTGGTTTATTTCACCAGTGAGGGGGACTTGGACTGCTGGATAAACTCAGAAGTAAGTAATGGGGGAACTCACCTGTAACAAAAGTGAAAAGGGATTTTTATTAATTCTTTTTTATTTTGCAGATCTTAGACTTTGGTTTAGCTCGACAAACCGATGATGAAATGACTGGATATGTTGCAACAAGATGGTACAGAGCTCCAGAAATTATGCTAAACTGGATGCATTACAATCAGACAGGTAAACTGTAAAGACTTAGATTTTGCTACAGCTGGATATAGTGATAGTTTTAAACCAAGAGACAACTCTTTGATTCATCATACATATTTCTTTCTGGTTTTTGGCAGTTGACATCTGGTCAGTTGGATGTATCATGGCAGAGCTATTGAAAGGGAAGGCCCTATTTCCAGGAAATGATTGTATCCTTAACATAAACCACAAAATGCAGCTATGAAAATACTCTCTAATTGTTCCTTTTTTTTTTTCCCCTAATGTCTTGAGTGTTTTTATGAAAATGTTTTTGAGGTAACTAACTTCTAAAAAAGTAAACCATTTTTGCTAATCTTTCAGTTTAGCATACATGACAACTGAATATGAGACCCACTGGTAGGAAAAAAACTGTAACAGATGTTCCTAAACAACAATAAGTTACATTTGCTCTTTGTTGTGTATCTGTATTTAAATAATAACCTAGTTACAAGAGAACAGATTTCTTCCATGTGTGTATCCTTCTGAAAGAAACTGAAGCTGAGTGAAGGCAAGATTTTTGGTTGGCTATATAGAATGGAACTGCTTTTAGGTTGCAAGTTCCTAAAATGCAAACAAATGAACTTTTAAGTAAGTTAATTTTGTATCCTGTTATTAAAAAAGCCAGCAGTTTGAGAAGTGCCACAGGAGCAATAAAACCTTCTCCTTTCTTCAGCGCTGTGCTGTGGTCCCTGCTGCAGCATCAGGGATTTCCCTTGGCATTTCCTGCACTGGCAGAAGAAAAAAAAGGTTGCTGAGGAGAGCAGTAAAACAATAAAAAAACCCAACCTGGAGTAAAACAGATAATGAGGAATGAGGAAACAACTCCACCAGAGGAGGAAAGCTTTTAATATGAGAAACAAAGGCGCATTATTCTGTACCGAATACTGGCATTTCTCACCACTTTGAAATCCTTCAAGAAGCAAATGCTTCTGCTAAAACTAAGCTGTGGCCATGGGCAAAATAACATGAAATTGGAATTGCCTGCAAAACTGTTAAGAGAGCTGAGAGACAGAGTCTCCCCACTGGCCTTTCTGTTGTCTTCAGCAACATTAAGCTCTGTTGGAACCACAGGCATTGTCCCAGTGTTCATCATCTGGATGATGACTGTGCTTCAGATTGGTTGATTACATGATACGTGGTATTAGGAAAAATCAATACATCTAGGTTTCTAGGATAAGATATTTTTGCTGATATAAAACACTGTCTACAGTTATGTGATCACATCAATTTAAATAAAGCTGTAAAATAACCCTGAGTCTCTAGAGAAAATGTAGTATACCTTACAGGTCATATATGACAAAGAAAAATGAACATTTTAAAGTTTTTAATCATGAGAGTGATATAAAACAGATTTTTAAACCTACCAAATGAGAATTTTCCTTTTACCAGCCCTCAGATTGGTAATCTAGCCCTATGTGCTGTAATTGGCTATTCTTCAGAAATTGTTCAGAGCACTGAAACATAAATGTGCTATTAAAACTAAGCTTAAGAAGAATATTTTAAAGGGGGAACTAGGACAAGGAAGCAATATTTTGCATGCACCTTTCTCACATACAGGCACACCTGACAGAGATTGACATAGTACAAATACAGAATTTTATACTCCAGGACTAGGCTTATGCAGGTATGAATTGGTGTCCTTCCAGTGACTACAATAGAATTGTCTTGCTGAATAGTTGTAAATGTCTTAACTATCTGCATGAAAGCTCATTAATTGTTTAAACCCAGAAGAACTGTATGCTGTTTATTTCCCTGAAATAAAGCAGATATCGATCAACTAAAGAGAATTATGGAAGTTGTGGGCACACCCAGTTCTGAACTTCTGAAGAAGATATCATCAGAGCACGTGAGTTCACAGGTTCATTTGGTTACCTGACTTTCTATCATTCTTTTCTCTAATTGGCATCATGTATAACTGATTTTGTTCCACAAATACTCTGATTTGCAAATGGCCATACACATCAAAGGGATCTCTCTTTTCCTTTGCTAGAAATGCATGACTAAAGAAATATTATTCTTAGAGGTATCCAAATGCCTTGACTTTCAGTTTGATTAGTTTTTATACTTGTTCTTAGGTCTTCAGTTTCTGAAAAGAGTTTTGCAGTTGGTCCTGATGATCTTTTACTTTACTGCTATACTTTAAAACTTCAAACTGATGCTCAGCTCAGAGCATTTTATTGTTGTTATAAAATCTGATTCTCTTTAATTTTTATGTTTTCTGTTGTTGTAAGTGATCTAAACAGTCATATTAGAATAAATAATGTGTGTTCTGCATGAGTGCTCCTATTTGGATCCCTAATTTGAAATTCATATTTATTATTCTTTCTGATTGCTTGTGTGGGGTCCACTTTCATGATAATAACTATATAGTTAACAGTGTGATTTTTAACTCTCTCCATATGACTTATTTAAGATAGTAATGTAGTAAATTAACAATTTCCACTTTGTTTCTCTGGTAAAACTACACTTAAAGGATTCACTTTAAGTATAACCATGGATATCCAGCTGAAGAATGAGATGTGGTATTGATTGATAAAGGCAGGTGATGAGCACAGTGTAAAACGTCAGATAAACAACAGCACACAGATACCTCCTGAGATGAAGCTATTTTCTTAAATCTTTTCTATATAAACCTCTGTCTAACACTAAGGGCTGTTTTTTCCACTCATGTGTGGATATTGATGAGTTTTATTTAAAGTTAATATATCAGTGAGTTAGATAAGGGACAGTAGGAGAGCCACAGCAAGACTATATTTCTGGAAGGTCCAAGCATAACAGAGCGTCATCAGGACAGGCCAATGCACAGCCCCAGAGTTTGTGAGTACCCATCGCCTGGGAATGGCTGGGGCATGAGGAGGATCCTTCTCATGCCAGGGGTTGGATCAACCAGCAAACCTCAGACTGTTGTCCTAAGCATAGGTCCTTGTATAGCCTTTATGTGTTATAAAGATCCTACAGCTTTTGCAGTAATGTGTTCAGAGTAGTGTGTGCCAGTGTGTGGTTTGCCCACAAGTAGTCAGTTTGTGAGCTTTTTCCTTCTGAGATTAAGGACCTTACCTATTTACTAGGGTTAGTATCTGGTTTTGTCTTTAACTTGTAGTGTTTCAGAGCATACCTCAGTGAGCTACAGGAATCCTGAAACTTTTACTGGGGCTAACTATACCTTTAGAGCACAGAGAAACACAAAAACCAAGTTAATGAATGGGAAGGCTGCTAGGTCACCTCAGGGCTGCTGCTACCTGATTTTAGAGGAGTTGTGTCAAAGGAGACACTTACCTTGCTTGGTGGTACCTGCCTCTTGCAGGAGAGTTTCTGTTCTATCCCTTTGTTCTAGTTCTTCTTTACCTTGTAGTTTGGCTGTATTGTTAAGATAATTCTTAATGCAGTTTGCAGCCCTGGACAATTTTTTCCTTTCCTCTAACAGCAAAATCAGAGGTTTTCTGAACTGCCAAGCTTATTTTCAGTTATAGAGTTTTAAAGAATTGGAAACTAAAAGACTAACCTCATGGGATGTTTCAGCACAAGTTACTGAGCTGATTTGTCAGTCTCTCGTGTTAATATAGGTTTAAATGGTGATTGCATTCATTATTTTTAGGATAATTTAAGTGTCTAGATCCTGTTTGTTGGGTTTCTGTGGTGAATATATAAGCAGAGGGGATAGGTTTTAAGTATGCTTTGATATGTGTGTGTTGTTTTCAAAGGACTTCTGGACAAAGCTGGGGATAATCTTCACTGGATCTTGTTCAGTCATATTAGGATTAGTGTTGTTAATTGACATCCATACAGAAACAAATAATCCACAGATACATAGATGCTTGTTGTAAGAGAAATTTACCTCTTGTTTCTAACCTAGTCCACAACTTCCATGCAAGAATGTGTGACAGCTCTCTTTTGTTCTGCTGTTCATACATATGTATAAACTAAGGCCCCAGAAGACTTAATCTGATAGGAGCTGCACACCCTGCACTGTCTAGCAGGTGGTTGCTGCCTTCATGAACTTTAAGGGCATAAAATAAGGGGAGTGAAGCCTGTGTTTGACTTAGTCTTTAAACATCATTCACTACATGACTGGCTACAGATGCTAAGAAAATAATAATCCTCTTAGAATGCCTTGCTGTCAGCCCCCATAATAAAGAGGGAAAACGCTAATACAGTTTTAACAGGTTAAAGTTTTGCTTCTTTTAGTAAGACCCTAAAATGTGTCAGTAATGGTAGTCTAGAGTTATGTTGAAATACACTTACATCATATAAAAAGCAGGAAAATAAATAGAATCTGCTTCATTAAATTAGAGCACAGTTTGAAAAGAGACTGCAATGTAATGATTAAAAGTATCACTATATCAGTTCATTGTAGCTGCAGAAATTAAGATGATGGCAGAGAGAACTGTCTAGGGAACAGGATCTGTTTCGCAAGTATGGCTGTAGGATTGCACAGATGATATGTCAGAGTGGACATAATATGTGATGGCCACTTCATGATGCACTGAGACGGTCAGCCCTGAACGTAGTTCCACAGTTCTCAATCCCATATCTTGCATGAAGCCGTGGACCTGCTCAGTGTGTTCCTTTGCTATCTTCAGTAGGCCTAGGAAGCTTAGTTAGCCTCCTGCAGATAGTCTTCTCCCAGCAGGATTGCTCACTGTGCAGGGAAATGTCCCTGTAATACAAACATGTTTTTAAAGGATTAAGGTTTGTTCAAAGACCAGCTGGGCTTCCTGTGGATTTGGGAACAGCCATTTGCCTCTTCTTCAACTGTTCCATGTCAGAACTCCCTGTTCTGTCCAATGCCAGCCTTTAGGACCAGCATCCAACCTCTTGTCTTGCTGGTAAATATTTACTTATCTACCTCAGCCCAGAAATTCATGTCTCACATATCGGTTTCCATGCTGATAATGGGGTCCACAGTAGCAGCCCTTCCCTGGCAAAGCTGGATGAGCCTTGCACAGCTACAGTGACAAGGCAATCTATAAATTCTGTTAAACTTCTGAAGATCTGTGCTCTGGGAGCATCAGAATTTGGTTAGTGAAGCTACTGTTCAATAGAGGAGAGAGTACGGAAGGACACATATTGGATTGTATCACTTTGCTGAGAGTAACTGAAAGATTATTTGGGTTTCAATTTCTGGTTGAATGCTACATCCATGTGTTCCCTGGGGATTTACTGCAACACAGCAGTAAGTGTAGGTGAAAACATAAGTGCCAGTGCATAACCCTTAGAGAAATTTACCTGTTTAAAACTTTCTTGCTTACTGCACAGTATACAGGAGTAACTGTTTAAAACAAAGTCATACATTATGGTTTTATATAAAGGCTTCCTACGTATAAGAAACGTAACAAGTATTGCATCTCTTTCTTTAGAGTTGATATGGTTACTGAAATGGGAGGCATTTAACCATAACCATGTGGTATGTATATTGATTTATTCCTAGGCAAGAAAATACATTGAATCTCTTCCACATATGCCTCAGCAGGATTTGAAAGCAGTATTTCGTGGTGCAAACCCATTAGGTAAGAAAGTCAGACATATAGGGCAAATCTTTCACTAATGTGGGAACTCAAGCCTTCCTTTGCTAGACAATCCCATATAATAATGATTGGACTAGTGAGAAGAGCATTGCTTAACCTTTCATCCTGAGACTGTTTTCCCTTCATGTAGCCTGTGTCTTGTTTCTAGTGGAGATTACAGGAATCTCCTAAAGGAAAATAATCTGTGGATTAAAAGCATAAAGCCAGCTATATATAGCAGGAATAAACAAAAATTTCATGGGGTCTAGACTAGAGCCATCACTTCTGGCTCAGGAAGGCCGCGAGCTGTAAATTGCTGGCAAGTAGAAGAATATACCAGGAAGTATAGCTGTTTGAATTACTCTTTTGAGTATTATTTCCTAGGAATGTATTAGCCATTGTTGGACACAGGACACTGAGCTAGACAGATCTTTGGTCTGATCTTTCACAATTGTTTTTATGTCTAACCAATTTGTTCTGCCTGTGCAAAAGTGATGTTTCTGTGAACTATTTCCTGTGACATGGCAGAGGAGATGTTTGAGTCATCTTACTACAGTGCCTGGTCAGTTCCATACAGTGTACATTAAAACACTGTATATGGGAAAGTTTTATGAGTTAAAATGGTTTGAATTCTTTCTGTGTAATAAAAGACAATTTTATTTTTACAAATGCAAGTAGCTGTGAACATTTTTTAATAAGAAATTGGATTTATTTGCATGAGGTACATGAGAGCATGCTACATATTCATAGCATAAAAGCAAATTAGTGACAATGCTTATATGAAAGCACTCAAATGATTTTCTATTGTATTTTAAATAGTTATGATAAACTTTCCACATAAAACCAATTTAGCCTTACAGATCTTTCTCATTTCTAATATTCTGCAACTTCAAAACTATTTTCACCAGGCTGAGTCCTGTAAAGTTGCTTTGCTGTTTTCATCTGATTATTTCATTGGTGCAGCTAATTAAGAGTGTAATCTCACATTCACAATTTTAAATTATTGAAATTTACACTGATCAGGACCAAGTTAAGCACATGATGCATAACACATGATATTTAACTTTTAAGCACACGTAGATCTTCTCAGAACGAAGGCCTTGGATGTCTGAAAAGGTGAATCAGATATCAAATAAACTGTCATGAACTTTTGTGCGCACCACAAGCAAGCCAGAAGCTACCTTCAGCTCCGAAAATTGTACTCATAGTATAAAATGTTCAAAACTCATTTGATATATTGCCTAAATCTTGTGGGTTTGCCATTAAAGTTAACTGTGTTGAAGGTGGTTGAGAATAGATTACATGTAACCGGTTGCCTTTTTACTTCTAGATGGTCTCTTCTGGCTTGGAACCATGTTTCTCTTTTTCCCGTAGCTGTAGATCTTCTTGAGAAGATGCTTATACTAGACAGTGATAAAAGAATTACTGCCTCAGAAGCACTTGCACATCCCTACTTCGTGCAGTATCACGATCCAGATGATGAACCTGAGGCAGAGCTGTATGACGAGTCAATAGAGAATAAGGAGCGAACCATAGATGAATGGAAAGGTAACAGAATCACACATAGTAGTGATGCACACAGCAGAATAAAACCTTAATTAAGTAACAGTTTTCCTCTGTTTCTAACCAGAGCAATTTGAACTCTTAAGCCTCAGGGAAAAAAGACGTGACCATGTGTGAGCTTGTGCTAATGGAGATGTGGAAAGGGCTGTGTTTCCTCTCTGGATTTTGTTCCCTTCCCCTGTTCTGTTTTCCCCTCACTACACCTCCTATAGCAGGTTTGCTTTTAACTGAAAGATGATGTGAGTTAGCAGGTAACCACACATTGTGTCTTACTTTTAGTTTTCTAGGTAAGATACTCAGCTGAAGTAACCATCCTTGGACAAGTGATGCTAGTTGAGATCCTAATCTAGCTTTGCTCAGAACCAAAAGTGGAAGTTTTCCACATAAAAGTATATTTGGCTAATCATTTTTAATATAGCAAATAAATTGGAATTAATAGATAAACCATGCTGTTGATCTTGTTTGAGATGAGAGTTGATGATTTTACTTTGGAGTGATACCTCAAAACCAATTACTGAGAAATACTGCAACAAACTTTTTTTATTAGTTAATTTCATGCTTGCATCATGATGATATTGCACTAATGGTGTCACGGAGGTAGCACAGCTAAACATTTAGGTTGCAAGCATTCCCCCTTTATAGAGGGGAGGAAAAAAAGGCCTGAGACAAAAATCTTAAAACTGGCACAAGACATGCAACTTTTCCTCCTGGCCATATTTTTATCTTGGGGAATTAACTTTTTCTTTTCAAGTACAGTATGTCCCACATTAGAGTAAGATGACATCAAAGGTCACCATTTGCATAAAATGTTTGCATTGTTGATGAAATATTGGCATGGTTTTTCAATATGTCAATGGCATATTTCCCCTCTTTTTCTGTTCAAATTAAAAATCAGTGGCATTTGATCCCAATAGAGACTGAGCAGCAAAGTAAAGTGAGATTTGAGACACTTTTTCTTACACGATATATGCTTAAGTGTTTCCTTGACCTCCACTGTACACTGCTGAGGCTTGCAGCCCAAGCTCACAGATTCTTTCTGACATGTTTAATCAGTTAGAAAATACTACAAAATTTTAGAGGGCAAGAGTATGCTACCCAGAGTTGAGTGCTATGCACTCTGTCTCCTTAGCTGCTGTTCCAGCGGCACGTTATCTCAGCTTAACTAAATCTACTCTCAGCTTAGTAGGTGGCACAAGAACCAGTTAAGGAGCTTCATAAACATA